CACTTATCTGGGAAGGACACCGGGCCAATTCACAGAACAGTGAGCTGCAGGAGCCAGGCCTCAGGAGAGGGAGACTCCCTGACACCAAACTCCTCCTCTCCCCCTGGGTCACCCATCACCCATCCCTGCGCTTCTCCTTGGTTTCATCCCAGAGACAGGCTTGCTCCACGCAATACAGAAGATGGCTTAGGGAGGTCCTAACCTTAGGCCCCTACTCAAAAAGGACTTCTTTTTATGCCCCTTTTACGAATTTCAAATAAGGCCCTGATTGGGCCTGCTCGGGTCACATGACCAATGTGTATAGGGGCTAAGGGAGCTTCACCAGGAAAATAAGGACAAAAGGAAACAATTACCCCCAAGAAAAGGCATGCCATTACCTGTCGAAGGAGGATAAGAAAGTATAATAAGCAGACAAAGCAATCCATAGCTAGTCCCAACTTCCCTAGGAGCCATCGATGGCCTGCGAGCAGGAGGCACCCAGGAAAAGGTGCCTGTGCCGAACAGGACTGAGGCGAGGAGGGATGTGCCAAAGCCTTTGTAGCAGTCACAGCTCTGCTTGGCCAGATGATGGCAGCAGGAAATCTGAAGAGATCCTAGGTCTTTTGCATTGCTATGCACAAGTACTCACGGAGTAGTGAACTGATAGGGTCCTGAGAGGTCAAAGCTGGAAGGGGAATTTTATGGTGGGAAACAAATATGGAAAGGAGGCTGGAGACTCAGGCTGGAAACCAATCTTTTCCAGTCCAAAGATCCAGGCACTTTCACAGCTCCCTCCACTGTGGCTGTGCGGCCAGGGCAGCTTGAGTTCACCGGGAGGAAGGACAGGCAAATATACAACAGCGCCCTTTCCCAGTAGCTGCCTCCTACAGTTTGCAGAGCAAAGCGGGAGAGAGGCAAGAGGAACAGTCTAGCATCCCCACAGTTCCCCAATCTCTGCAGTAGCTACAGCTTCAACTTAGGATGATTCAGAGACTCCACTTTAAGTCTCCCCACCTGCCCCCCCCCAAAAAAAACACACCTATTTTTATTGATTCAGAGAGGAAGGGAGAGGCAGATATAGAAATATCAGTGATGAGAGAGAATCATCAATCAGCTGCCCCTGGGGGGATCGAGCCCACAACCCAGGTATATGCCGTAATAGGGAATTGAACCGTGACCTCCTGGTTCATAGCTCCATGCTCAACCACTCAGCCACCGGTCAGGCTCCACTTTAAGTCTTAATTTTGAGTAATCCAGATGGCGAAATTTAGGCTTAACTACAAATAATACTGAAAACTTCTGATAACAGCAGCAACCACTAAAAGGCAGATGATATGGGACAGAAGACACCATAAGATACCAAAGAGAGGGATATGCAAATTAAAGAGAAATGTCACTTAGACTAGAAGGATGTGATAACTTTGGCTCACTGTGGCATCTTTCAACTGCCTCAATAATATGTTTTTATCCATTAATAAAACAATTATTTTAATCATGCCATAGAGAGATAGCTCTCCTCCTTTTTATTTATTTTTTATTTTTATGACTCTTTTTATATCCTACATCATTCCAAGATAAAATTGCAAGAAAATGCACTGGCTCTGGGAATCTTGTGGAAACTCTCTAGAAATTCCTGGGTATGGACTGGATGACTATTGAATGCAAGGACAGCACACTCAACCAATGGAAGGGAGGAGGAAGAGATAAGTAATTAGTTGGATGCTTTTTAATATCCCTTACTAGCAATTTAAATGCATTTTTTTAATATATTTTTTATTTTTGAATTTTCGCCAGAGTAAGTCTGTGCTTACACAATTCATGTTGATTGTCTGCCATTTGAATTAAAATACACACACACACACACACACACAAATGCATACACACACATTTTCATACCAGGTCTCTTTTACATCTCCTCTTGAGAAGAACTACCAAATGGAAAGCAACATTAATTATTGGGTTACTTTACCCAAGCAATGGAACCCATAATACTTTGTATTTTTGTGCAGACATATTTCTGGAGTCCTTCCCTCAACTTTGGGTGCAATGAATGGCATCCCGGCAGTTTTGTGCATAAAACCTCGAATGCAGTATAGGTGGTAGAATCAAATGAGCTGACTGCCTTTGACAGCATCATCAGAAACTGAACAACACAGTGGCCATCTCACTTTTAAACCATAGATATGTATGGTATCTATGATTTTAAAGTGAAAACATTGCTTTTTTTTCAATTTGGGAAAGAAGTAGGAGGGTAGGAATCTGAGTGCAGGAAAATGAGTATCCAAAAACATTAAGATCACATTAACTTATGGTTCTAAAAGGGTACAGATCAAATGAAGTTTTCTTCCTTCCTTCCCTTCTCTACCTTACTCTTCCCTTCCTCCCTTCCTTCTTTCCTTCCACTTCACAAATTCCTTGTTTGTAAACCTCAAGCAACTTTTACCTTTTTCATGTGAAGTACCAAGAAGCTTCCCATCTTTGACACCTAGAGCAATGCATCAATTAAAGGAGGAACATAATTCAATTTATTTCAAAGCCATCTGGGAAATGAGCAATGCCCTGCATGGCTATCCACACTGCTTTATGAGGAAAGTGACATTTGGTACCTTAATGGCCTTTCATTAAGATATGAGTATATCCATTTTTAAAATGTTATCCTACTGCAAAAAAAAAATCTTTTAAAATAATACAATACAAAATAAAAAAATATTATCTATCTCAAGAAACCATTAGGGAAAGCAAATAAGGCTTGCTGGAATGGAATGTGAGGAATACAATAGCCACCTACAAACTTCACCTCTGGGATTGGTCCATCTGGCATGTTAGGAGGACATGTTTTTCTTGCTCCTTTAATGTAGAGTTGCCAGGTCAGAAGTGCAATTTCATTTCAGATCCTGCAGAGCTGAAGCATCTGACAAGGCGAGTCTCCCTTTTTGTTCTTACTTAACAATGGGAAGACTGTCCCTGGGCCTGAAAGTGTCAGCTGCCCCTGAGGCAGAGTAATTAAGTGAGAGAGCAATTCTAAAATTCTGTCCTCTCTAATCCTTGTCACAAAGTATATATATATGTATCATAGTGGAAGGTGGCAGATTATGAACCTCACCGGTAACTACAACAAATTTGTCTATTCTTGGCACAATGGTATTTCTCAGATTAGGAGGGTGTTTTCTAGGTGGTTTTAACTTGTTTCTGTATAATTAAGACAAAACATTCAGGGGACAATTGTCAGATATTGCATTGTATTTCTCAGGGTCGTTTAAGAATAGAGAATGTGTATACACACACAAACTCCTGATGCATCTCTTTAAATGGATAAGTGGTACTAATATATATATTAGTAAAATATATACCACTAATATATATATTAGTGGTACTAATGTGGTACTAATTAGTGGTACTAATATATATATTAGTGGTACTAATATATATATATATATAAAAGTATGTATATATACTTTTATAAGTGAACCATCAAATGTGATATTGAGAAACAACATTCTATCAATAGCTAGTCTTCCTGCTTCTTTCTTGTCTCCTTTCAATATGTTCTCAATATAGTACCCAGAGTGATGCTGTTAAAATAAAAGACAAACCCATCCATTGACTTCTATAATGATGGTAAAGCCAAGTGCTTTGAAGAAAAATAAAATCTGACAGGGACTAGGGAGTGATGGGAGATGCCATTTCAGATAGGGTATTCACAGAAGGCCTCTCTGAATAGATGACATTGGAGCAGAGCATAAACCAAGTCAGAGAGTGAGATGTAGATATATCAGGGGCAGAAAGAAAGGGAATATTCAAATACACAGCAGATAAATACTGCAATTTCAATAGCTTATTCATATAAATGTACTTCTACATAAATGGGTACTAATTACTTTCATATCCTTGAAAAGTTAGCTGTATCATTGTATTCTTTACATCTGCTCACAAAATATTTATTAAATGAAAAATTTCTATATAACAGATGTCATTGACTCTCATCTCCCTCAGATTAAATGTCAACATTTTTCAATGGCCTAAAAGTCCTCCCACTCTCTCCTGCCTCCATCCTGCTCACCCCCTTCCCCAATTCCCTCTCTGACCCTATTTCTTACCACTCTGCCCCTCCCTCACTCAACTCAGCCACTCTGACCTCCTCAGTGTTCTTGGAATATTCCATCACGCTCCAGCTTCAGGATATTGCATTTGCATTTTTATTTGCCCAGAATGATCTTCTCTACCCGGATTTTATGACTCACTCCCTCACCTCTTTCTGGTTTTGACTCAAATGTTGCCTGCCCAGAGTCCTTTCCTGGCAAATCTTTCTAAAATTGCAGCCCCACCCCTCAATATGTATTCTTTATCCCTCCTCCATGCCTTATTTTTCCCCATAGAACTTAACATCATCTAGCATACTACAGCCTAGAGCAGCCGTGGGCAAACTACGGCCCGCGGGCCGGATCCGGCCCGTTTGAAATGAATAAAACTAAAAAATAAAAAGACCACACCCTTTTATGTAATGATGTTTACTTTGAATTTATATTAGTTCACACAAACACTCCATCCATGCTTTTGTTCCGGCCCTCCGGTCCAGTTTAAGAACCCATTGTGGCCCTTGAGTCAAAAAGTTTGCCCACCCCTGGTCTAGAGTCTTATCTAATTTTCTTGTCTCTCCATGAGGTCAGGGATTTGGGAGGCATTTGCTTGGTTTTAGGGGGCAAAGGGCGGTTGTTGCTGTTGTTTTCTCACTGCTGTATCACCAGTACCTAGGACAGTACCAATCAACATGATGGACACTCAATAAATACTGGTTGGATGAATGAGTGAATGACAACTGTACTCAACAAAATAATCAGATTATTTACTTTTTTTTTTTTTTTTTACAATACTTAGCATTTTGGTGTGTCACTCCAGAGTCATAGAGACCTGAAGCTAGTTTTTCCAATTACAAATATTCAAAGTGTCAGAAGACTTAGCCCTTGGCTTAGTCTAGGACAGGTCAAATGCACTGTGAACTTCCTGTATCAGGGATTGCCAGGATGCAGGAAGGTTACAAGTTGGGACGTGAAGCCAGCAAAATATTCCAAGGGGAGCCAAGGTAAGAGTAGACAAGGCCCTTGTACTGGGTGGCCCAGATGAAGGGCTATGTAACTCTCACCAGAGAGAAATCACCTCCAGCTCCTTGGTGAAGACTTGTTGGAGGATGGTTTGGCCACTGTTGTGTTGGCTCCCAACAGAGCTGGTCTTCAAGCCTCCCATCCAAGAACTCCCTTTAGAGGGGGTTCATCTTTGCTCTTTTCCTTCCTTTTCCAACCTTCCAGGCAGTGTCCTCTCAATTCTGCTCCCCTCTGAAAACTTGTTGCTGCTACTCTGGTGGAAGGGTAGATATGACCTGTTCG